ATCCTGTACACATGATACAAGCCAGTTCAGAACGTATCGTGTTAAAGTCTTCCTTGTGGGGTGTATCATGAATATGCATTGGATATGTAGTAAAATGCATGTTTTATTCTAAAATTAGAAGTTTATTTAACAAGGGCTCGAAACAGAAATCGAGTTTAACGTCCCAGCGTAGCGAGGAATTCAAAATTTGGGGGTACTTTACATGAAGCCTTCCGGAAATTCCTTTTCAAAATTTTCTCAAAAAACACTCCAATTTGTTTCTTTACATTTCTTGTAAGAATGGAGTAACATTGACTTATTAACGTGGAATAGGTTTTTCACGTTAACTCTAAATTTTTGAAAATTTCAGAAGTATGAATTTTTTCGGTGTCTTCCAACAACCACAAAATTAAAGATAAAGATTTTTCCTACAATTAATTTTCCATATTGAGTTCTTTCAGTAAGGTCATTAACATTTTTTTGAAAATTTTAGAAGTTTTTGCGAAATGTTGCGTGTAATATGTGCAAGTTTAAAAAATTACACAAACAAGATTTTATCAAAAATGGCTTCACATATTTTTCTTTAAGCTTTTTGTGGGGTAGTGCTAAATGTACTCTGTCAAATGATGTAGACATCTATTCTTTTGTTTGTTCAAAATTACAAAAATGTAATTTTTTGACTTGTCTATGTCGTTAATATTTATACTAGCGGCAATTTGTTCGCATTATTGTATTATGAGTACATGTACTTCAAGTAATGTGATAAAAATTTCCTCGAAAACTTCGTTTTCTCTGAAAAGTAGCTCAAAACCCCGCGTTTTCAGAAACGCTCAAACGTAATTTTGTAAAAAAAGGCTCCAAATATTTCCTTCGAACATTTCGAGCAGATAGTGCTCATTGTACTCTTTAATCTGACGTAATGTTAATTTTGGGATTATTTCATTAAAAATTAAATCTCTCGCACCGTTCATATGCACATTTCAAGCAGATTATACACACTATAGTATTTGAGTGTTAAAGTACTTCGAATGAAGTTTTTCGAAAACTCACAAATTTTCTGTGCGAAAGAGTTTCAAATGTCGAATTGACAGTAGCACTTAATCGCAATTTTCTTTAAAACAGCTCCAATTTTTCCTTCAAACATTTCGAGCGAATAGTGCTAATTTCATAGTGCTCTTTAATATGACGTAAAGTTCATTTCGGGGTGAGGTTTTTTTTTTTTTTCAAAAGTTATACATCTGTCACGCTTTTGATATGCACATTTCCAGCAATTTGCTGCAAGCACTTGTATTTGTGAATTAAAGAATTTAAATTGTCTTCAAATATCAGTTTTCCTAAAACTCAAAAATTTTCTGTGAAAAAGAACTTCAAATTTCGAATTTGCAGTAGCGCTTAAACGTCAGTTTTTTACAAATGACTCCACATTTTCAACAAAAATTGCCATTTAGGATGCGGTTTTACTGTTCTTTAATAATCTTAAAATATTTCCGCTCTACCATTCGGAAACCAAAAAATTAAGAAAATGTCAATAAAAGGTACTTTGGGCGGCGATAGAAGGCAGCTGGCAAGAGTATGTGGCAAATCCGAGTAGCTAGCCGAGACCAAAGGAAATCAAAAACTAATACGGGAAAGTCTGTGCCATTTTGTAGCATCACTTCCATCATCACGCAGTGACATGCTCAACGGTTCGTTAATGATCCACGCGATTGTTTGTTGTTGCTTTTCTGAACAATTTTTATTTTTTATTTACTTCTCTGAACAATTTTCGTTTCACAACAAACTGTGATACTTCCTGGAACGGCAAGCCCTCACGAAACGGCTTTGCTGTTGTTTAGTAGGAGATAAGTGCATGGAAGTTTTGGACAACACAGAACGGTTAAACATGAATGATTCATATTTCTGGCACCACGATTATTAGTTCTGTTATCAATGATCTTTTTAACACGTTTATTAAGAACTCTACTACATAATATATGATGACTCACAAATTAACAACATACATTTATACCAAAGACCACACAATTCTTTTCTGTGATTCTTTTGATTTCTAATATATGTGCTGTGATCTGTGTTAATAGATGATCACGATTCCGAAGGAGGTATGCTCCTGAGAGCTAAAGAGCTGTTTTGGGTGCTCTATGGAGTATTCATGACTCCATTGTGTTCCAATGTACTGCTGTGTGCTGCTGTGTGGAATGGACAATGTTCTTGTGATTTCAAAGCACTCTATTGTGTGCTATGGGCAATGCTATTGTGTACCCATGCTTCCGATGTGTGCTAAGAGGTATTCGTTCTTGAGTTCTCATGTAATCTGTTGTGTGCTGTGTAGTACGCTCATGACTCCAATGAGTACCGTAGTGTGTCAATGATTCCAATGTGTGCTCAACGTTAACCTATGGTCGAGGTCACTGAGCTGTAGGGTATGTCTGCTGCTGGGCTCTTGGGGTCGCTGCGAGTCGCGCCGTGCTACGCGAGTCGCCTGGGCGCGTGCGCAACAGGCGCGTCGTCGCTTAAGCGGGCGGCGCGGCAAGGCCTCGCGCGGCGCGCCGCCCCCAACCCGGCCGCATCAAGCCGGGCTCCGTCATCGAGAACGTGGCGCAGACGCGGCGCCTGGCCGAGACGGCGCTGGGCCGCGGCGGCGGGCGGCGGCGGCGACGCGGGCGGCGGGGCGGGCCGCGGCGGGAGGGCGGCGGGCGGTGCGGCCGGGGAGGCGCGGCGGTCATCCTGCCCGACGACGAGCGCCCCACCAACACCGGCAGCGGATCGCAGGTATACGCACGCCCACATCAAGCAAGGGATGGACGAACGCTTGACCGAACAAACGCTTGACCGAACGAACGCTTGAACGAATGAACGCTTGAACGAACGAACGCTTGAACGAATGAACGCTTGAACGAATGAACGCTGGAACGAACGAACGAACGAACGAATGAACGCTGGAACGAACGAACGAATGAACGCTTGAACGAACGAACGGACGCTTGAACGAACGAACGGACGCTTGAACGAATGGACGCTTGAACGAATGGACGCTTGAACGAATGGACGCTTGAACGAACGGACGCTTGAACGAACGGACGCTTGAACGAACGGACGCTTGAACGAACGAACGCTTGAACGAACGAACGCTTGAACGAACGAACGGTTGAACGAACGAACGCTTGAACAACGAATGATTGAAAGAATAAATACTTAAACCTAAATGAATGAAAACGAATACTATTTTGTCCTGAAATAATTTTGAGAGAGGAATTATTTCATGAGAAGTAAAATCAAGTGTCCTGATTATGATAATGATTGGTGATTACTTTCGGGCCATCACAGGCAGATTTTTCGCTGTCCAAATTTTAACATAAATAATTTCCTCTCAATATTGTACAACCGCTTTTACTTAGTGCTCAATTTTTTTACATACAATTTTTACAACAAACAGTTCAGGGACGAACTATTGCTGTTTTAATCATTTTTATACTTACTCATTCCACAATAAGATCATATACTACGTTAATTGAACATTTCAACATTTCTAAATACCTGTTAGAAACTTATTCCTCGTAGGTCGCTGCCATATCGCATTGTAGGTAATTAGAGCAGCCATCGCTTGCACTTCACCCCAGTGGTACGTGCACGTAACGAAATGCACATAGCCGAGAGCCCTGCTAGCCGCGGCGGATTTGCCATTTTCGAGGCCTACGCTAAACTTCTTGAGAGGCCTCACTGCTTACTGGCATCAATAACATTTTTGAGATTGGATAGTTTTACCTTTTTACTGAAAATTAATTAAACAATTAAAGCATGCCTTCAAATTAAAATTTGAAATTTAAAAATAGATAACAATTATCTCAACGTATTATATGTCAAACTAATCGCAACATAATTTTACAGTATATTAACTGTTAATAAAAATTGACAAAAAATGCCGTTTACGAAATTTTTTGTTCACAAAATCAGAATTAGTATCGTCGAAAGATAAAACCTCAGAGCCTGTCATTATGTCTGAACATTATTGTTAGTGAGTTGAGTTTGTTTTCAGTTGCACCCAATAAGTAAAATGCACTCAAAACACAATGTATAAGAATGATAAATTGGAAAAAAATTGTTTTAATTGCAATAATGAGTATATCAAATGCATTAATTTTTTTTATTTTTTACAGTAACTAGTTAAAATTTGTATTGCAATTAAAATATTTTCATATTTTTTAGAAAATTGCAATTTCGTTTAATAATTTTTGAGATACTTTAGACTCTGAGGCCCAAAGCTGTAGCTTTTTAGCTTAACCGTTAATTCGCCACCGCCTCCTAGCTTGCTGCCCAAAATTATGGAGGGTTGAAGCGCCACATATTTTATTTCAAATGTACTAATTTATTCTTTTTATTTATTTCACACACTCACCTATTTGGTTAACATATTTATAGACGACGCGCACTTATTTATTTCTTACACTGACTCTCTCATTTCGATTATTCATGTTTTCATATAAAGTATTCCAGCTTCGTGACAATGACCCCCATCTCGATCGTTTTTATGCAGGTTCCTTGATCCATTGAGCAAATCCAGAGATAGCCCCTTGTTTCGCTTTGGAACATAAATGTTGCTTCACTTCACGCACGTTTTCTTGTGCTCTCCTTTTGTAATTTGTGGTGGGAGTACAGCGGGGCTATGGATTAGTATTAAGCAGCACTACAAAATCAAATCTGTACTTCGTTTGCTAGCCGATGCAAATAAGTTTTCTGTAACTCGGAAGCGAAAATATATAGTTTTCAAATGTTTCTAGCGTCGCTCAGTTAGTACTTTTATTCGTCATTTAACTATTTATGGTTAAAGAGTGAGGAAGATATTCTGGAACTCAAAAAAACATAAGCAGATTTCCCTTTTCTCATACACGTCACATACGGTTTTTACGGTTCTTTGACAAAATCAAAGTCAAGTCATGTTAAGCACTCATCAGTTTACGTTAGTAAGATTAATTTGTATTAGTACATGTAATTCAAACTTCGCACATTTGTATTAGTAACTTTTTATGCTCTGTTCCACTTGCCGTCCGCCCGGTCGTCGCAATTTCCCTGTGAGCTCAAATAAATATGTGGTCCCCGTGGCTGTGGCTTATTCTCGTTTGCTTCGCCTGTTGCAGGAGGAGGAGGAGGACATGCTGGAGAAGGAGGGGGAGGCGACGCCGGGCTCCGACGAGTGCCACGTCATCCCCAACGACAAGTCCACCGAGTTCATCCTCGCCACCGTCGTCGAGGAGGCGGGGTGAGCCCTTCAAATGCACTCGCTCGCGGCCTTCAAGACCAAGCGCTAAGTCACGCTGGTCCTTAGGGTCAATCACAAGTCACTATATTTAAGTAGGGCAATACATCGTCTTTTTTCCTTTTCCTGCACAAAAAGTGGATAGAGAATTGACGTTTATTTTTTATTGATTGATTAATTGATGTTTCAGGGCACAACTGCTACGGTCATTAGTCGTGTTAGCGTGGTGACTTTCTTTATCCCAGTAGATTCCTTTCTTGCTCGATGGCGTGTTCTGACGTCTACCCGCATGTCTGCTTGCGAGGGATTCCCTCCTCCGTGTATCTCCTCGGCGGGGCGCACCCCCACCGTGAGATACACTCTAAGCTCCCAACTGGTCTTCCGACATGAGTGGTAGTGTAGCTGCGCGGTTCGCCGCCCGTTTGTTAGGGTAATTAGGGCTTATGAAGGTAATGGTATATGAATGCCCTGGTACTGAACGGAGAAACCACTGAAAAATACCCATCATTCGTGCAAGCCCCTAGAATTCTGCTTCAGTCACTGATAGAATTCCACCTAATTATGGCTCGCGAGTCGAAAATTCGTCATCGTAGGAACTCAAACCTGGGGCCTCCCCATCAGAGTCGCTTCGGCAATGCAGACTCGGAGCTAAATTCAGCCAGTCGTTTGTTTTTGGGCAGTTTCGGTCTTGAAGCTAGTAGATAAATGAGTTATTAAAGATGTTGCCATTGCCAACAATGTTTTTTTAATTCAAAAGCAGCTTTCGATGGCTTAGCCATCATCATCAGTTGTCTAATTAAAAAACATTGTTGGCAATGACAACATCTTTAATAATTTTAAAAATGCCAAAGATATCCTACCACAACACCTATAGATAAATGAGTCCCGGCATTTTCACAATCCATTTCGTTTGCACGCAATCGTCATGGCAGTGTTTCTTCCTGACGGCGCAAAAAGCGCTGAACCTCGAATACTTGAAAATACGTCTATCGTAACAAGTTAGGACTGAGCCCGGAGACATCATTAATGCAGAGTACATGTGACAACCGTTCCACTTCTCGCCATCCAAATCACATCAGAACATCGTTACATTAAAACGCTCTCAAAATTACAAAAAAGTATAAACCGCGCCACACGCATAATAACCGAGAAAAATTACCAGAGGAGCACAAATTGGACGTTGATTGTACAGAAAAATGACGCGTGTTTCATTGTTCTCTACAGACTACTTCCATTATGGTCAGTCCTTTTTCTGTGGTGATGAAAAAGGGATCATTTAAATTAGACTTTAGCGAGGGAAAAAAATTAATCTCCGCTACAGGTTGTAGTAAAAAAAATGTTACAGCCTTTTATAGGGCAGTGGTCAGTAAGCGTGACGACTGCTGTGACGTCACAAGAGCACCCAAAACTGTGAGTTATTATTCTTTACAACCTAATCTGCAAAATGAGATCTTCTGGACATTAAATTTTAGTGTAACCCTTCAAACCGTCGCACGTGTTGTCGGATCGAAGTTGGGCTCACCTATAAAGATATTTTCACATTGAAAACAAAGATTTACTAAGAGCCGAATGCTGTAATCCAACTAGAGTGCCACATTAGATTAGATGAAAGTCTTTGTCAGTGATAGAAAAGTGCTTCAAATTCATTCGGGTTCGTGGACTTGTTATTAGATAGATGTTGATGGGGAAATACGTTTTGGGAGAATGAAGGAAACTTGAAAAATATAGATGGTATAATAACATTCTGTATATTTAGGCCTAATAGATCAGTAACACAGTAAGGAAAAGTATATCATTTTGTCAAGTGGTCAGTTTTCTAAATATTGTGTTCTACAATATTATTATACAGTTTGTGACTTTTAAGAAGGATACTTTTATTCAGAGTTCTGAGCGCTAAAAGGTGTGGTGAAGCTTTTACGTATTGTTTCCATATTGTAATCATGTCGAACGCCATTCAGATGTACAGGTTAAGCGTTGAACTACGACTAGTATTTATCATATGAAGTGAGGCTTAAAACACGGAAAAATAGCTATAAAAGCCTATGATTCACATATGTTAAAGAGATGGTCGAAATATAAGCAATATCTTAGTAGCATTAAATTTTATAATTTTTGTCATAATTGATTCCAACAGTACGTAGTCCATGCTACGTTGTAGCAGCAACACTTTTATTCAGAAGAGAAAAGATACATCGTTTTTTTGCTACAATGGTTGCACGACGCAAAACAACAGATGTTGAAATTATTGGGATTGAAATTTCACCTTGTATTGAAATGCATCATTCTTGCATTCATACTTCTGCCATTAGTTGATGAAATACTACACTGTAATATATGCTTCTGTTTTTGCTGGAATGTAGACCAATCTACAATTCTAGAGAGTGCATTAACTCGAAATTCGCATTAAGTTGTGCCACCCACATGGCAACCCACGAGCGAAGTGTGAGGGGGAGGACTCTCCTCTTTCCCCCCTAAGAAACCCCCGAGTGCTCCCTAAGCAGCGTTTCTGGATCCTAGGGTTCGAGTCCCGCCGGTGGCAAATGTTTGACACTAATTTTATATCTAGGTCTGGAGGCTTCAGCCGCTGTTTGGAGGAGAATTCTAGCGGTCGGCCACTCTGATCGAAATGCTGGAGCAATACTTGAACAAGCAGACCTCGGTCCGAGAGAACTCCTTCCACATCCGTGCTCTTTCCTCTCCTCTTATAGACACATGCTTACACTTACATGCACTACACTACCATACATGCAGGGAGACAGTCGCATGTTTAGAGCATACTCCATCTTAAGCGATATCCGCTGGCGGAGATACTCAATAGGGAAAACCCCTGCAAGCCCATATGTAGGTCGGCACTGGATCTAGCCGTGAAAACCACCACCTTCCTGGATATAACATGATGTGCACGAACAGGACTAATGATCACGGCGGCGTATATGTGTATTAGCGTAGTGCATATTAGTGTAAGTATTAGGGGTGAGAATAGGACAAGAAAGAGAAAGGTAAGATCGCGCGGTCCGTGGATTGCTTGTTAAGATAGCGCTCTGCATTCGCCTGGAATTGTTTGGAAAAATCGAGGAAAACTATCGATCGGAGCAACCGCCCTACATAATTCTCTCCACACAGCGGCTGATCTCAATCAAGGAATGTAGCTAGTGTCGAAAATCCTGGCATCGACGGGACTCGAACGTAGGACGTCCCTGTCAGAGGGACTGCGGTCCATCAGCCGACGCCCTGAGCCCCAGTCAATCATGCTCGCATGCGGCGTGCGCCCGTGTTGCAGGGTGGTGGGCGCGCTGACGTCGCCGGCGCCGACGGCCGACCCCAACGGCAACAACGACTCCGGCTACGCGGCGTCGCACCTCGAGGAGACCATCCTCCAGAACCCCTCCATCCCCAACAGCCCGCACCGCCGCTCGCTGCCCCTCGACGGCGCCAAGGTCAGACGAGTTGTCATTATTATTATTATTATTATTATTATTATTATTATTATTATTATTATTATTATTATTATTATTATTATTATTGTCATTTGTGACCATAACACGTTCTCTTCCAAAGCCCTGTCGTATTCTATCCCGGAGAGAGATTAACGTGTCATTATGCAGATTTGTTTTAGGCTGAATCCCTTGCTCAAACAAGGTTGTTAAGCTTTGAATTATGAATTATGATGTGATAGGATGATGCTGAGAGATAATAGTGGCATTTCTGAACCATCCCAGCATTCGCCTACGAAGGAAACCACGAAAACCTCCAACCGGATGGTCGGCCCGGGGGTCGAACCCGGGCCTCCCGACAGCGAAGTCAGCGCCCTACGCACTGAGCCACTTTGCTCGGTTATTGTTATTGTTATTACTATTATTTAATTGTCACCTTCGCCGGCCCGTCACTTGAATTAATTTAATTATTATTATTATTATTATTATTATTATTATTATTATTATTATTATTATTATTATTATCATTATTATTTTTAAAGTATGAGTCTCTTAAAATTATAAAACGATGGTAGGCGATGAAACACGCTTGTGATGAAAAAATACAAGGGAATTGATAGCTGATCTATATATATTTTTTGATACTGATTTTTAAAAAAATTGAAAAAAAATTTTATGCCACTTCTCTTCCGCGATACGACTCAACTTGGGGTCAAAAATGAATGGCTGATACGACGAAATCTTAAACCAGGCCCCTAGAATGCGATTTGGAGCAGTTTTGTCGATCCAAAATGTATTGTTACCAACTCTCCATATAAAATTAGGCATAATAAATTATTTTTTCAATGTTATTACAAAAGATAGCAATCGCTTCAAATACCTGTGTTAAAAGATTCCTATTTTATCCGAATTCAAATTGAAAAAGAGAATCTTTGTTGGTCCAGATATTCGCAAGCTTATAATGGATAAAAAATGTGAAACTAGTATGATAACAAAGGAAAAAGAAGTTTGGGTTCCCTTCAAAGATGTCGTCAGTAAATTTCTGAGTAATTACAAGAACCTTGAAGATAAATCAATTGTTATGAATATGCTGGACAATTGTCAAGCGATAGGTTGTTGCGTGTGAGAGTCAAAATACATTTCCTCCACTCACACGTAGACGTTTTTTCGGAAAATGGAGGATCGGTTAGCGAAAAAGAGAAAGGTTTCCCCAAGATTTGAAAAATATGGAGCGCAAATATCAAGGAAGATGGAACAAGAACATGCTCGCCGACTACTGTTGGCTGGTAACACGAGATAGGCTTGAGATTTAACATAAAAGAAGAAAGTCAAAAAGAAGTTTCAAAGGAAAAAGAATACGATCTTTAATAGAAACTATTTTTTTCTTCTTTTGCTTTGTTGTTTACTCAGTTTAAAATGTGTTTCAAAGTTTCATGTTCACGTACTTATTTTGATCAATTATGTATTTTATGCACATTACCTTAATAAAAACAAATTAAAAGAGCGTATTAGTGATTTTCTTCTCGAAATCGCACCATAATTGACGTAAATAGTTTAAACTCAAGGGAACTTTTTTGTTTTTCTCTCAATCAGAGATGGCTCATGCAATCTGGCGACTGTGGTTTACGACCATTTATACCTATAAAAAATGAAATTGCTGAAAAATAAATTTGCCTCAATAAAAATCGATTATATTTTACATAAATGTTCATGTAAAAACTCTATTGGCACGTAGAATACGCAAAATTGATTGAGCGAATTAATTTTCAAATAAGATTTTAGGAAAAATATCCATATCAATTTTTCAGAAAATACTTACTACAAAAAAATTGATGTCATTTTCGACATCTGCATATCAATTTAATAAAAATCAGTGAAAAATTCACTTGTATTTTTCAACAACTTCAATGCTGCCGTCCCGTGTACGATTAAATTAATAATTACAAATTGATAGTATTAGCCCATTAATGACCTTTCGGAGATACAATTTACAAGAATGCGCAATCATAACTTCAACAATGGCTCTGTGCGCACTGACGCGCCGACCGTTGGCGTGCGCTATGTGACTAAAGTTAATTCGAACGTTAATGACTTAAAATTTATTTTCTATCAAAATTATTATAAATAGTAAATCGATAAAAAATGACCTACCATTCCATTAAAATGAAGAAAGCATTAATATATAAATCCTGAATCACAACGTACGATTTAGTAATATTAGTTTTTGCAAATTTAAAGTATTTTCGAAAATAATTGATGCAACCAATTTTTAATCTATTACAAATTTCCAAGGATTTCTGAAAATAATTTAAATATTACATTTTTATACTTTTTTGAGGTAAGTATCCTGTGTATACTCAATAAGCTTCATTCACTCATTTGGTTTCTAGTTTTTGTTCATTTGAATGTTCGAACTTGAAGTAAGGTGGTGAATAATTTTCCTTCGCTCTAAGTGGTACGTACTTGAGACAGAGAAATGTCGCCTTGTAATTAATTTTAGAATAGTTATTTTTTGTGTTTAGTATATTTTCGAGCAGGGATTTGCAAACCTTTTCTTGCACTGATCCCTATTAACCCTAGAATGCTAGTGTTGAAATTTATCGCTCGTAAGTAAAAGTAATGATTAAAATTTACTCACTTCAAGAGTGAAAAATGTTTACATGAAAACGTAAATTAGACGATTAGTAATTGCAATATCGCTGAAAAATTTTGCTTTGGTGGTTTTATTTTTTGTTAGATTTTTAGTATATTTTTGTTCTTGCTGCTTTAGTTTTTCGTAATGTTTGATCAGAATTTCAAGCGCAATCGCATCATGGATAAGTGGTCGAAGTTAATAACTATTTGCCAATGCACATCATTGGCCCATGTCAGAATTTCAAGCAGAGAATTACGTCCGCAGGTGCGGCGCAACGGTGCGGCCACGGTGGGCGAACCGCCCCGCGCGCCCCGGCCGCCGTTCGCGCGCGCCTCGTCCGCCGCCGCCGCCGCGTGCCCGTGCCGGTGGCGCGCGCGCTAGACGAGTCGAGGACGACGCGGCCGACGCGCGAACCGGGGCGGGGAGCAGCCAGGCGTGGCGGGCCGGGCGGGCGCGGGCGCGGGCGCGGGGGCGGGGGCGGGCGGCTCCAAGAAGGAGCGCAAGGCCACCGCCGCCAGCCGATTCACCATCTACAAGGTGAGCCTCGAGGTGAGCTCGCACCCCTGGATGTGTAGAGGTCAGCCAACCTCGCATGTGTAAAGGAAGTGTCGGAATAAATGTTACCAACTTCTAGGTTGTGTACATGGTGAAAAGACATGGGTGTGCCGATCCGGCGCATCGATTTTTACTCGATCTACGCAACGTCACGAACCACATGATCACACCACGGGCACTCCGTCCGAAAAACCAGGCCAGACGCTGGCTACCATGCTGCATGGCAAGTGAGAAGTGTTAAGAAATATTTTGAAAGTGGCTTAAAGTGACAATTTTTGACAGTGACCAACCAATAATAGCACGATAATGGCATAGTTGAAATAAAAATGCTTCATATTTTTGTTTCAATGACTTGTAACAAGGTGATAATTTTGGAATCTGGCTGCATTTAAAATTCCCGCTAATATTGTGACTCAAACTGGAACACGAAGCTAATTGGTTGGCGTCAGATATACTGCTCATTTGCTCACCCGTGTCTTTTCATCATGGTTAAGTAGTCGAAGATGATAACTGCCAATTAACATGTGTGAACATCATTTACATATAGTTGAAAATGATTGGTAGGTACTCAACGATTACTGGTGTTTCCAAGGAACATTAAATCTCTGAGTGAGAACGTGACCTGCCAAACACCAGTGCATGACGATTTGCTTGCCAATCAGGAGCAAGTGTCATATGAAATTTCCCCCGACTAGTTAATAGCCAGAACGTCATGTTGAACCAAATGCATGTCTGAGAACTCTTTAACCTTTATCCCAATACACGTGTAGTTTGAAACCGTAGTTTTCGAAATTAATTTGTTCGAAAAGAACTGACATATAACAAACGTTGGATAGCTAAAGCAATCTCCTTGACAAAAAATAATGTAAATCCATTTAAAACATCGACAAACAAAGACATTCAAAATTAAAACAAAAAATAATTATATCTCATTAAATCTATCGTGCTACTGCCCTATTCATCTAAGGGTTCACACTTGGCATTTTTTGTACTCCTTGATGTTTTCCCCGTCCAATTTCAAGTTTTTAATGCTTTGTTTGGTGCTTATTTCAAAAACGTTTAGTGCCTTTTTAGACACCTACACCGTAAGCTTTCAGTGCCTTAATATCCGTTGTCTACTTATAATTCGAGATTTGCTTCAGGGGAGAGAGAGAAAGTTCATATGCAATCCACCATAGAAGGTGAAAGATTTTTCATGCGTTTGCAAAATTGCTTCCACTGTTCTAAGGTGGTTCTACACATCTGGTACATTAAAATGTTACTTGTAACATAAGAGTTGCTTATGCAGAGTGGTTTCACTTGCGTTTTCATAAGCAACCCACTCTGGGATGAACAGTATATTTTTCTTCCTAGCGAAACATTTCGTCCATTGTTTGTCCTACACCTATTATGGATATACTTTACATATTCAATCCACCGAAGAGGTGAGGGTTTATTTATTTGTTTTTGTTCTTTTGCAAAGAATTATCCATTTTTCTGTACGTCAGTAAAATGGATTTACTGTTCGTTTGCTTCTCACCATAGAAGGTACATTTCGCTGTGCCACAAGAGTTTGGAAGGGGGAATGTTCCGAATGAAACACATCACGGAAGGTAAAAATACGGTTTTCTATTTTGCATTTATCCATTTCAGTACATCCTCTGTTCTATACATTTTGAAAATGACGTTGTTTCCCGTACGCAACTTATCACGGATAGTGAAGATTTTTTTCTCTCTTTCTCCAAATCTTTCATCCATTGTTTATACACAACGAACATATCTGTTTTTTTTACATGAAAAAAACACCACGAAAGGTGAAGACATTTTCACCTCCTTCTCAAACCGAGTTGCTTGCATGGAACTTCGATGTGCAACCCAGCTCGAAAGATGCAGTTGCTTCTGAAGAGAGAGGAAATAACCACAGAATTCAACCTACCTAGAAGGGGAAGTTACTCTTCTCTGCAAAATATTGCATCCAGTAATATCTGTACCTAGAATATAGCTATTTTTTCGTTTGCAAACCATCAATGAAGATGAAAACTTTTTTGCTTTGTTAGCAAAGAAATTTATCCTGCATCCATATATGTCTCGAACATGGACGGACCCTTTGCTGCGCAACCCCCACGGTGAGTGCAGCACCCTCGCAACGCAAAAGCTGATTCTTTAAAGTGAGGGAAACAACTACATTTTTTGAGTGCTAGTCACCACGTAAGATGAAGACTTTCCCCGCCATTTCAAAGTATTTCATCTACCGAGATTTGCGTCTGATACTTGGCCACTCAACCACCACAAAAGGTGCAGTTGCCTGGTAACGCAAAAGCTGCTTCTGCAATGAGGATAAATCTTGGTCGTACGCAACCCACCACGAAAGGTGAAGACTTTTTCTCGCCATTTCAAAGTATTTCATGCAGCGAGGTTTGCTTCTCGTACTTGGCTACTCAACCACCACAAAAGGTGCAGTTGCCTGGTAACGCAAAAGCTGCTTCTGCAGTGAGGATAAATCTTGGTCGTACGCAACCCACCACGAAACGTGAAGACTTTTCCCCGCCATTTCAAAGTATTTCTTGCAGCGATGTTTGCTTCTCGTACTTGGCTACGCAACCACCACAAAAGGTGCAGATGCCTGGTAACACAGCAAAAGCTGCTTTGCAGTGAGGATAAATCTTGGTCGTAGCGCAAACCCACCACAACTGAAGACTTTTCCCCGCCATTTCAATAGTATTTTTGCGAGCGATGTTGGCTTCTCCGTACTTGGCGTACGACCAAAGCAAAAGTACAGTGCCTGTAACCACAAAAGCTGCTTCTGGCAGTAGGAGGATAAATCTTGGTCTACGCAACCACCACCGGAAACGTCGAAACTTTTCGCCCGCACCTTCTCAAGACTTCTGGCAGCGATGTTGTCTGTACTCTCGCCTACGCAAACACAAAAAGATGCGACTGCCTTGGTAACACAAAGAGGATAAATCTTGGTCGTACGCACCCACCACGAAAGTGAACTTTCCTCGCCATTTAAAGTATTTCTTTGCAGGGAGGTTTTGCTTCTCGTATGCTGGCTAACAACACCACCAAAGGCGGTTGCTCGAACGCAAATGCATGCTTCTGCAGTGGGATAATCTTGGTCGCACCGCAACCCCCACCGCTGACGTGATGAGCTGGCTGGGACGTTGGCTTGCCTGCCGCAGCTGCCCCGGCGCCGCGGCGCCTCCACCATCACTCGATCTGCGGCCACCTCGCACTCCACTGGGGCCCGGGCGCCCGCGAGCGCCGCGACCCCTACGCTTCATCGTGACGACGCCTGCGCGCGCGCGCACGTCCGTGGGCGGGTGGGGCAGCGCAAGCACTTCCGCCGCCATCAATGTGGCGCCCCCCCGCCAACACACACTCCTTCCCGATCCCTCCCCACTGGATATCTCAGAAATCACACAAAAACGTTTCGAAACACACACACTTCCGACCTCTCCAATGGATGTCTTCAAAATCGCAAAGCGTCTCTTTCGAACACACACACCTCCTTTCCCGTCACCTCCACACTGGAGTCTCAGGAATCCCAAAAACGTTTAGAAAAACACCACACACTTCGCCGACGCCTCTCACTGGATGTCTCAAAAGTCGCAAAAACGTTTGACAACCGCCACCCCCCTTCCGACCTCTGCACTGGCATGTCCACAAAATCCGCAAAAGACGTTTTCGAACACACGCACCTCCTTTCCCGGTCACTCTAACTGGATCTCTCAGAATCAAAAACGTTTAGAAACACAACACATTCCCGACCTCTCCATGGATGTCTCAAAATCGGAAAAACGTTTGGAACCCAACCCCGCGCTTTCCGACCTCGTCAACTGGATGTCCAAAAATCGCAAAGACGTGTGTCGAACACACACACGTCCTTCACGATCACTCACACTGTATGTCTCTGACCCAAAAGTGGAACCCCCCCCCTTCCGATCTCTCATGGACGTCTAAAACTCAAACTTTCGAACCCACAACTCTTTCCGATCCCTTCCACTGTATGTCCTGAAACCAAAAACGTTTGAACACACCCCATCCCTATCTTCCTCACTGGACGTCTCAAAATCCAAAACGGTTTCGAACCACAGCACCTCTTCGACCCCTCCAGTGATGTCTCTGAAACAAAACGGTCTAGAACCACAACCCCGCCCTTCCGACCCCTCCTTCCACTGGACTGTCTCAAATGCAAAGACGTGTCCCGAAACACACACACCTCCTTCCGATCATCCACACAGTATGGTTCCTTCTGAAACCCAAAAACGTTTGAACCCACCACCCCTTTTCCGATCCTCCTCCACTGACGCTCTCAAAACTCCCAAAACGTTTCGAACCCCAACACCTCCTTCCGATCCCTCCCACTGTATATGTCTCTGAAACCCAAAAACGTTTGGCAACGCACCACCCACCCCTTTTCCCGACCTCTCCACTGAATGTTTCAGAATGCCAAAAACGTTCGAACACACACCTCCTTTCCCATCCCTCCCATGTATGTCTCTGAAACCCAAAACGGTTTCGAACCCACACCCCTTCCGATCCTCTCTCACTGGACGTCTCAAATTCCCAAACGTTCGAACCACACACCTCTTCGATCCTCCACTGTATGTCCTGAAACCCAAAAACGTTTGGAACCACAACACCTCTTCCCGACCTCTCCTAGAGCCTGTCTCCAGAATGCCAAATCTAGTTTCTCGAACCACACACTCTTCCCGATCCCCTCCCCACGATGTCTCTGAAACGCCAAAAAAACGTTTCGAACCCACACCTTCCCCGATTCTTCTCATGGGACGTTCAAAATCCCAAAAACGTTTCGACCCAACACGCCTGCTCCCGATCCCCCCACTGCTACTGTCTCTAGGAACCAAAAACGTTTGCGAACCACAACACCTTACCCGACCCTCTCCACTGGATGTTGCAGAATCCCAAAACGTTTCGAACCCACCACCACTCCTTCCCGATCCCTCCCCACTGTATGTCTCTGAAACGCAAAACGTTTCGAACCCACCAACAGCTCCTTCCCGATCCCTCTCCACAGAGTGTCTCACGAATTCCAAAAACGTTTCGAACCACCACATCCTTCCCCGATGCCCTTCTCAGAGCTCAGAATCCCCAAAACGTCTGAACCCACAACCTCCTTCCCGATAGCTTCTCCACAGGATGTCTCAAACCCAAAACGTTCTGAACCACACACCTCCTTCCGACCCTCTCCAAGATATCGCAAAATCGCAAACATTTCGAACCCACACACCTCCTTCGAATCCCTCTCACAGTTGTCTCAGAATCCCAAAAACGTTTGAAACCACAACACCTCCTGCCCGATCCCTCCTCACAGGATGTCTCAGAATCCCAAAAACGGTTGCAACACACACTCTTATTTCGATCCCTCTCGACAGATATCTCAAAATTCAAAAACGTTAGGAACCCACAAACCTACCTTCCGACCTCTTTCCACAGGATGTCTCAAAAATCGCAGAAAACGTTTCGAACCCGCAAACCTCCCTTCCCGATCCCTCTCCACAGGATGTTCAAGAACCCAAAAATTTTGGACCCTACACCTCCTTCCCCGATCCCTCTCCACAGGATGTCTAAGATCCACAAAACGTTTGAACCACTCACCCCACTTCCCGATCTCTCCACAGGATGTCTCAGAATCCAAAAACGTTTCGAACACGCACTCCTCATATCGATCCCTCTCTGCTCAGGATGTCTCCAGAATCCAAAACGTTTGGAAACCGACACACCTCCTTCCCGGACCTCTCCACCAGGATGTACTTCAGAATCCAAAAACGTGTCGACCAACTACTCGTTCTCCGACCCTCTCTACAGATGTCTCAGGAAATTCCACCGATAAAACTTTCGGAACCACACATCCCATTCTCAGTCTCTCCCATTATGATGTCTCAGAATTCCACCCGTAAAACGTTTGGAACACACAACTCTTTCCGACCCTCTCTTGGGTGGTCTCAGCATTCTACCGTCTTAATCCTTTCGGAACCCAAACACTTCATTTCCGATCCCCTCCCAGGATGTGTCAGAATATCATATCTAAAACTTTTTGTAACCACGGCACCTCATTTCGAAGAAGGTGATCACTCAAAACTATTGCATCCCCTTAAACTCTATTTTAGACATCTGTGTTATTATGAAGTGACAGATACGTTTGAAAACACGTTTATCCTACTGATGTGAAGAATTAGTGAAAGCCACAGGCGTACATCCAAAAGAAACTGCTTGTTCTGAATATCTGTGATGAATATTAACGCGGTTTCGAAAGAGAGTGAGCAATCTTTCATTTGTAAAATATAATAAGCCTCTTCAAAGAGAAGAAGAGTAGTTCGAGAGTATCAACTAGTCGCAGCTCAAATATACTCGGGACATCATGTGAGACAGTCATCTACTGTCGTAGTTTGTTTTATATAACAAAAAATAGGTCCACCTGAAGATAGCAAAAATAATTCGAGCATTCAGAAAATCCAAGATCCTATACACTTTTTCTGTTGCAACAACCGTTCCTTGTGCAGATTTAAAGAATAGATGTTTTTAAATTATTTAATAATATTCAGTGTTGTATGTGTACTACTATTAATTAAACACTTTACAATAATCTGAAAGTACTCAGTGTTGCGGCAAGCGATGCTATTTCCTCACTCCAACTTTGTCACGAAGACGTTAATCTGCTGTGACTGGCAGCTGGGGATGAGGAAGTAACATTTAACCTGATTTCTCTCGAAGAAACTGGATCTGGCGTTGTTTCATGAAATCAACACATAATGTGGATTTTTTGTAACTGGACTTTCCAGACATTTCTGTATTATTACTCAAGAAATTGTGGGGGGTGGAATATCTGTGGTCAGAGAAAACAGTTCCGCTATATTAGATGTCTGCAGCTAACAGAGAAATACATGCAAAACATTCAGAAAGATGTCGAGAACTTGTGTTCATGAAAATTTGATTCACATATTAAAGTGCCACATAAGCATATCTACCATTCGACTGTTAATGTTTTCTTAATGTTCTTCAATTTAACTCCTCCCCTTTTCATTGTGTAATACCTCCTTCTGTTCTTCATCAAATACTTTATCTCTCATCGTTCTTCCTCGCTTCATTCATTCTACTCACA